AAGAGGGAAGATGGTTTTCTCAAGGGGAGGGGCAACCTTTTTGCTGGAGTGCAAAATGTGTGCACATTCTCATTGGATAACAATTAGTCTTAAAACAATGCGATTTCATTTTTATTCTTCAAACGAATTGAGATGGTAAAAAATTACATTAAAATTTGTCGCGTACAATTTGGAAAGTGACCCCAATTTACTTTTATACACACAAAATATGAAATAAAAAGTGAACACCATTTTCTGGACTTACATCAGCTAAACTAGAGAAAAATACAGAGACCGGTTAACCTAAGCTAACCCCCCCCCAACCTAAGTGTTGTGTTTAATAAATAAAAAAAACTTATTACACCTACTGCTATGCACAGCATACTAAATTTTGATTTTGTTTTATTTCTAATAATACATAATTCTATTTGAAAATTTGTAAAAAAATAAACTCTGAACTCTGAATTTGAAAACTTGTGTTCTGGAAATGGAAATGGTCCATATTTATAATTATATAAAATGTGTTTTTTTTCACAAGACCAAATTCACATATTGTAAATATTCCAATTACCTAATTAAATATAAACGTTTTTGTTTTGATTATACAATTTTCCTCTAAAAAAAACCAGTTAATTTGAAAAAAATTGATTTTAAGCTTGGGTCAAGGTCAAGTTATCAATGAAAGCAGGTTTATGTGAGTGTGTAAATTACAAACAAGGCACAGCAGCAGTCGGTTGAGTTACACACCAAAAGCCAAACAAACGTTAAATGATATTCTAATCCTATCTTAAGCGGTTCGGTCAAATGTCGAGCGACTTAAACGAAGGAGTACAATATGTCTCTGTGTGCAAGCTATAATACATATTTTATACTATGCTTATCAGAAGTCTTAAACTTTCGAAAAGGAATTTATTACAAATTTCCCAGCCCAAAATCAATATTATAATCATCACAGTTTTTGGTACCAACAACAACAATAGCCTACAATTATTTACCATGATAAGAGATCTACTCAATTTATTGAAAATATTAAATGTTATACAGTCTACAAGGATCTACTTGTACTTAAATTTCAAAAATAAACACCACACTTTGATAAAGCCAACGGGGTCATTTGTCAGGTACAATCTTCTATTCTGTCGGATCGGTTAAATACACACATAATATAATAATTACAAGAATGAACTCTACTCCTTTGAGATTTATTATTTCCATGAAAATACTAAAAATAGAAACGCGTTGAACGTTTCCCGCCGAGTTCAAGGTTTAACAAGTCTTCCTGGAATAATGGCATATGAATATGAATATGAATATTTTGGTTTTATCCAAATGATGTGCTATGTGCACCTATGACCTACTCCTTCAACAGATAAAGAATATATCAAACTCTAATAAATTGTTGTATTTTTCCTTTTGTTTTAAATGTATTTTTTTAACCCGGCATTCTCTGGATCAGGCCACAAATAATTGTGCAACTAATGTTGTAATATTTTTTAAGGATAATATTCGTATTTGATCGAATTAAAACAAAATACATTAAGTCGGATATTTGATTATATTCAAACAATATAGTGCGTTTCAGCATTTGTATTTATCATACAAGCCGCTTTTAAACCTATGTGGGTAAAAAGGTTTTTTTCTTCTTTTTTTTTATTACCTACGAGTTTAACACACACGATTGACATATGTAATAGTTTGGGTTTTTTTTTATACCCTACACACACACAAAAAAAAGGACAAGAGAAAACCTACAAATCCATCAGCTGTGTAATGTGTAAACGGGCCAGGGGGCAAAGGGACAATTCGTTGTGTGCAGGTACAATTTAAATTCTACCGCAAAATAAAACCGTTTTGGAGATTGAAAAATTCTAAAAAAAGGTATAAAAAAAAAAAATTGAATAAATAAATAGGTCTATATTTTTGTGGAAAAGTCATACGTTTAAAAAAAAGGCATTTTTAAGTAGATTATACAGCTGACGCGGTTCGCTAATGTTTTAATTAGGGTTTGTTGTTTTATTAAAACTGTTTTATAAGGGCGGAAATTCAAGACCAAGGGAGCATTTCATCCCTTTCCCGGTTTTCGTTTTTTTTTAATAACCCCTATCAATTAAAAAAAAAAAAGAGGAAAAAATGTAGGTAAGTACATAGTTTTTGTTTCCATCGATACGTTTTTTTTCTCCAAAAAATATTATAATAAATATTTATACACAATACAAGATAATGAAAAATCTTCAAGAAGAAACGATTAGCATATTTTTTTTTTCATTTTACAAAGGGTGTAAATGATTAATGCGCTTTAAAAAGGAAAAAAAATGTAAATTTATTTCGGAATTAATTTGGCACCCCTGATTAGTTAGTGAATTTATTCTATCGTTGTCAGAACTGTTTTTTTAGTACAAAAATTAAATTATATCAACAAGACGATTTTTTTTTATACACTAAATTATTTTCTCAAATTAGCCTTTCCCTTTGGTGATTTCTTTTTTAAATACATAATAATATTATATATTTATCAGTAACTAGTTATAAACAGTTTTGTTTCTCCTAAAAAAAAAACCCCTTTTAATCGAGCACACACAAAGGAAAAGTTCCTTTAAGAAGGAAATGAGATGATTTTAAAATATACTGTTGTTTTTTTTTTTTAAGTGTGAAATATAGTCAAGCTGTTTGTATGGTTAACATAAAAATATTAAAATGAGAAAAACCTCTTTGAAATAATTTTATCGATGATATAATATTAACCTGCAAAATCATCTCCTCCCCCCCCCCCCCAAGAGTCTGTAAAAGTGATCTAAACAAGGATACTTACTTTTCGAAATTAACAAAAAAACAGACTCTTGTAAGAAAATTAAAATTGAAGTAACAAACAAAACTACAGTGTTCAGGAATTCCTTTCGTTGTTGGGAACGCTGTTCAAAATCGGTCAAAGACGTTGTAAAGTGAAAATTCCAAGACGGTTCCGAGTATTCGTGAGAAAACCGAATTGTTCGTTTTTGATAATAACCGTAGACGAATATAATTTGAATAATTCCAAACGTTTTATTATTTTTTTATTTGTTAAGGAATTCTAACTAGTCAAAATTGTGGGTTGTAATTTAAATATAGCTTACAAAAAAACTAACCGCGACCGCGGTTGAGTTTACTACGTCTTTGACCGATAACGAACTAAAGAAAATTAAGTAGAAAATGTCGACAAAACCCCATTTTTGGAAAAGTCTCTAATCATCGTAATGTAAGTACAGTTTTTTCTTCTTATGTGAGAAGCAAGCAATTGTAAAAACTATATATTAATTTTTATCTACAAGAGCTATCGATTATTGTGTAAAATTATAACTGGATAAATGATAATTATCTTTTTTTACAAACGCGCACGTTCTCAGCACACACAAAACCGTTTGGGAATCTTCTCGGGTCGTTTATCTTTATTATAATATATTTAAGACAAATTAAAATCGATAATATTATAATGTATAACATTCGAAACGGTTGTATGTTCTAATCTACTTAACGGTGTCGGTCGATAATGGTAATAATGATAATCATTAAACGTTACACTTTCTCGAAGGCGTCGAGATTAGGTAAACGGGATATTGTCTAAAATCATTTGTGTTTTTTTTTTTTGTTTAATAAAATGTGGAAATAAATATCATTATTATTATTATTGTTCCTACACGGTGATAAAAATAAGATAAGCATTAAGTAGGTAGATGATATAAAACGATATAATATTGGATTTTAATTGAACCTTTTTTACCACAGACAGATTATAAATGTAAACGGATAGCTCATGACTAGATAAAAACAAAATTATCATTTAAATATGATGATTGACATAAGGAGATTGTACAATGATAATTAATACTTATTCATGCGACTACACTGATATCTTTGCAAGTCTCTAATAATTTTTTTTTAAAAATTCCTTTGTTCTCAGCCGAGTGAGCCAATATCCGCATATTTTAAATGCAGGTACATATTTATTTAAAATAATATAAATTATCAAACTTGTCCGAACAAACACTTACATATAAAATTGCAAATACCTAACACACAAAATCAGCAAAAAAATGCACCTTTACAAATTAAAAATATCTGATTATAACTAAAAAAACACAAACTATGTACATATACTTTGTAAAATGTCATAATATATAATTTTATTTTTTTTGGTATTCATTTTGTATTTATTTTTTTTTCGTTTTTTATATAAATGCATATAGGTATACCTATATGCATTTTTTACAGTACAAGCATGAAATATTGCATATTATAATATAATATTGATTGTACACCACTGCACCGTGTAGTGTACTGACATATAATCTTATTAAAATAAATAACCGTGTAGAAACTTACATAATATTACAACTGTGTTGGGAAAATCTCGGTTGGTTTGAAAATCTGAAGAAATGATCAATTGTTGTATGTGAAAATTTTCATAAATTTTCAAAAGTTGCATTTAGCTGGTTTATACAAATGCGCGAAATACAAAATAAGTTTATCTTTTTAGTGTTGCTATTTTATTTTTACATAGAAAATATCATTGCTCAGGTACACAGTTTGATAATGCAAAAATATTAAATACCTATATAGGATTTTTAAGCGGCTTGAATAGCGAGGGATTTTTTGTTGAAATTCATTTTTTCGGATGACCATCACAAAGTAGCAACATATACAAAAAAATAACCGTACAAGTCTATTCTTATCCGCCAAGTCTTGCTGAGTAGGAACGATAATAGGTATTTTGTAAATTTTTTTTTCAACACTTTAAGCATGACTTAAATTTAACATACCAGGTTTTTGCAACTCTACCCCCTCTCCATCGACGGTGGAATTTGAATGGCAGCGTAAAAGGGTCGGCCAATCAAATGAATTTATTTCATAAAAGTGTTTGTATACCCCCCTAACGCCGCTATTTTGTGAATTGATAACGGTTGATAATAAAGTGTGTGGGGGAGGACATGCAATAACCTAGTGTACCTATATTATTAATAATAATTATGCCACGAGCAAAAATTTACCTGGTAAACGTCGGCGGCCTTATCGCGGTGTCATCCTCGATTGGGTGTAGGTATTTTTCCTGGTAGGTTTGTTTTTTTAAACCGTGCGCGGATTATAGTAATTGTAAAAATGAAAAAAACGCTTACTTTACTGTTGTTTTAGAGTATTTTTTTTATATAAATTTGATATTTTATTTTTTGCTTTTTTCGCCAGTTTCCGGTGTGGTCACAGCCGCTGAGCCGACGAGGTCGGAAAACGGTATTATTGTGGCCGATGATTGGCGCGACCGAACCCGTGCGTTATCACTGTTCCACCGATGGACAACAACAACAACAACGACAACGGCAACATATTATTATTGTTGTTTTTTTTAATTTGCACAACGGTGACGCGCCCGCGGTCCGCCAGCAGACTCAAACAAAAAAAAAAATTTAAACCATGTATGAACAAAAAAATTCCAAAAAAAAGGATTAAAAAAATTGAAAAAAAAAATTAATGGATTTGTATAGTTTAGCGAAAAATTGTTTACAGGAAAAATAAACCAAGTATAACACACGCGCTAGACGTGTAAAATTGAAGTAAAATTCACATAAAAAAAAAAAGTTAAATAATAAAATTCACAAAATTACAACAAAAAAATTAAAGAAAAAAACGTCGCGTCCATCGTTTGCCGTGTGTGTGTGTTTTTTGAAATTTTTTTCCCAAGTCCGAATTTTCTCGGGTTTTTCCGACGGCACAATACCCGCGCGGTTTCGTTTTACGGCGCGTGGTCTATTTTGGTGATTTTTTTTTTTAATAAGATTTTCTTCTAAGAACCGATTTGAAAAAAAAAACTAATACAAAAAATAAAAAACGATTTTTTTTTTTTTTCAAAGAAAACCCGACGCGGGCGCGACCCTAAGAAAACGAGTACAGTCTGGCAAGGCCGCACACACGAAACTGTTGAATCGCCTCGACCGGCGGCACAGAAAAAAACCACCTGTTGTCGTTGCCGCTCTGCCGGCGGCGGCGGCGGCGAACGGCGACGGCGACCGATTCGGTGGGGGGCGGCGGCGTCCGCATCGGCGCCGAACAGGTGGAGAGGGACGGGTGCTCGGCGGCGGCGGCCCCTACGGGTTTTCCCCGTCGTGGGGGTTGTTTTCAAAAAAAAAAAAAAAAGTGGGTGCCCCGTTGCTCCTCGCGAGCGCCCCCCCCCATCGCCTCCGCCGATAACGATTATTGTTATTGTTATTATTATTATTATTATTATATAACTGTTATTATTATTATTATTGTTGTCGGACGCCGCTCGGGCCGTTTTTCTAACGGATTTTGTACAGGCAATTTTTTGGCAAAATCTTTTCAACTCGAGAAAATAGTCGTTTCACAGTAATAGCCATTTTTGTTTGCCTTATTTTAGACCAAAAATCCGGGAAAAACGCGACTACTTAGGGTGGTGATACACAACAGAGTTTCCAAAGAACTCGTTTGTCTTTACAGAACTGTACTGTGACCATCGCAAGTAGTCGACATTTTGTCTGGTGTTTTGATCTAAAACGTCAAAAATTCAGATCGCCAGCAATCCCCTTAAAGGTTAAACGGTTATTTGTGTGGTTATTAGTTCAGTAATTAGTTAAACAATTTTATGGACTATCACAGGAAAATATGCCGCTTTCTGAGTTTAGACAATATCATTATTGACCATTCAGGTATGATTAGTCTAAAAAAACATACTTATGTAGACCGAAGAAGCAAATAAACGTCTTAGATGTAGTAAAATATGTTACCTACTTAAATTCGAGCAAGTACTTTGGGACTACGACTAGGCACAAAACAAATTCTAAGCAAAGGTATACTTTCCAATGCATACTATTGTTTAGAATGTTTCCATTTTTTCGTTTAAAAATTACATTTATTTCATCGTATAATCTTACTTGTATGTTTGTAAGTAAAGTTATTGTGTATTACTTTTTAAATAGTTTTTTAACCTTTTAAAATATTATATCTTTTTAAAAATTTTGTAGCGAATTAAAGTAACAAATTATGATTATTTTATTTAAAAAAAAAAATGTACACAACACTAAAAACGATAGTGTATTTTACTGTTTTTTTTTTATCAGTTTGATTTCAAATATATACTTATAAATTGTTATTCAAAATACACAATATGTTTGCACAAAAAAGAAGGTGTGCAGGCACTTGATTTGGTGATGAGCCCACGTGAACCGTATTGATATCGATGACACAATTATTTGCTATAGTTTAGTGTGCAAGAATGATTAAAAATATCTGTTATATTTGATCAGTGTGGCCATTTACATGCGCTGTTCATTCACGTGGTACCTTGTTAAAGCTAAAATATGACACTTGAAAATCTTTATTTTTTTCATACATAATATTTCGAGATAGGCTAAACTTAGATTAGATTGTGGACTTGTCCATAATGAAGAGGCCAATCAATCCTCTCTTTTTTTTTTACAGAATCAAAATTAGACTCACAATTTCGTCACTTGAACCTAATTAAAAGTAATATGTTTGTACTTTCTAAGAGACCCCGACTCGTTGACCAACAACCACGTGGACGATATTGCCTTTTTAAAAAGTAGAAGTAGAAAATTTTGCCGAAAATGGCCTACAAAATAGCCTTTACAAGCTATTTTTAAATTACAAATGAAATCCTTACAAGTCAAATCCAGACTAAGTCTGCAAAATATCTGCATTAAGTGATTTTTTTTTTGTTCCTTACTTTGGCTTGTTGATCTAGGCACGTGCTCAATGGTTAATCTGACTTGAATTGCAAGTAGAATTCATGCCAAAGCAATGGAGGACGTTCGACCGACATAATATCGAATTACTAAAATAATAATAATAATACATTTGGAAATAAGTTGGCCACACACAAAAGGACTGTGTCTTATCGATCGGTTTTCCATTCAGGTATTGTATTTTGTTGTGGTGCAAATTCACAAGACATTTTTGTGCAAGATTTTCAAGATTTTCATCATCAACATTTACCCCTGGCAGTTAAACGAGACATCCCCTTAAAGTATAACAGTACACTGTTCTAGTAGAGACAACATTTTCTCTAGTTGCACAAGATTTCACGGTGGATTGGTCAATTAGAATAAGGGCATCAATTTAATATCATTATTATTATTATCGAAAATAGTAGGGCGTATCGCTTTGAATATTTCAACAGGACGTTCTGTATAAAGAAGGAAGGCTCTTAAATGCCTGAACGGTTTCAACGTTTGTGTCTTTTAATGTCTTAGTAGTTTTCCAATCATACCCAAGTCTTACAGAGATGACCATTTTCATCATAATCAGATTGGATTTTCAGCTTTGACGTACATCAGCTCTTTTGGCAAACTACTTGTTTGTTCCTAAAATCTTCTTCTGTCAAGATCCTAAGTTTGGTTTGCACCATTCTTCCACGGTGCTCGTCTTTCTTTTAATTTATTCGTTTCAACCGCATCCACGATCCATTACTATTTGTCGGCTGTACTCTTAGGTCTTCCAAGTAGTCCACCGTGTCTTGTAGTACATGGCCAACCCATTTAGCTTCACTTGAGCATACATGTCTCGCTACCATATAGCATTTAGGTACACGCTCCAAACGTAAGTTTTTACAAAGATTTTCCCTTATATTTGGGCCGAATTTTCTTGAAGTAGAGAGGCCTTTCTTTTGATTAAATGCTATATTTTTTACTTGGCATATTCATATATATATATATATACAATGCAATATACTCTTGTCTTTTGTTCGAACGGGGAATGTTTGTGCTGCGTGTCGGTCGACCGAACAAACTGTTCAAATATTTATGCTTCTCAACTTTTCTAACCGTCACATTTAACGTCACAATCGACGTCTTGTGCCACGGCTATTAGGGATTTGGTATTTATCGATTTATGATAACGTTTCATAAGACTCGTGACATTATTAAGGCGACTTTATTCATTTTTTTTACCATGATATACTTGTCCCGCTCGAGCCTTTTTCCGAAATTACCCGAGCTGTCAATCAAAAGTCAACTTCCATACAATATAAATGTAAATGTACAGTGCAACTTTTATTTTTTGTTTTATATGTAGTTAACGACTTAACGGAGAGCCGAGTCGTTGTTACCAAAAGCCAAAACCGGAATTCTTATACTGCAAAAAACATTAGTTTGGACCACTTCTGGACGACCATAAAAAAAAAACCAATAAAGTCACACACAAAAATTCAATATTACATGAAAATGTTATGGACTTTATGAAGAATAGACTCTGTGTAATATAATATTATACGATATATATTGCAACCTAGTCATTCCGTCTCAGATTTTTCATCCTATCTTTCTTTTTCAGTGCTCAAAACTACCATACATCAGCCTCGATAATTTTCCTTTCATTGTCTAAGTTTGTGCCACACAAGGAAATTATGTACTAACGAGTGGGAAATGTTTCTTTCTTTCATCTTCTTCAATAATTTGTTCATAATTCGAGACAACAAAACACTTGAAAAAAACAACCCTGTAATAAACCCTCCACCTCCTCTTCCAACTATGATAAGGTCTAGGTTAGGTTACACCAAAGGGGTCAAGGTTTAACGCTTAGAACCGTTATAAAGCTAAATCTGGATGTGAACCGAATCTGGAAGTCATCTTAAGTAAGTTCTGACAATCATTATTTACTTCTTCACTTAAGACCATGCAAAAGAAATTCATCATCTCTTCACTCTCTACACAACTGTGTTTTTATTTCTGACATCTATTCTTGTTCACCTTTGATCAACCTAAAACACTCAAGAATAATCTCTTCCATTTTCCGGATTCCTTTTAAAATGATCAAACCAACCCAAGTCTTTCTCGTCTTTCCTGTTATTGAAGCAACTCACAAACTAACTCTCCTATATTGAACTTGTCTAACCTAGTCATTTCATCTGAGGATTGTCATTTCGTTTTTCTTTCATCTTTCTTATTGTCTCCGTTTATACATCAGCCCTACTTGACAGTACACGCTCTCACAATGTTTTTCACCAAATAAACGTTGAAGAGACCCCGCAAAGTCGTGCAGGTGACTACGACGGTTCGAGCAAGGGTGGTCGGCCACATTTTCAACAATCTAGTTCATTATTTAGGTGTGTCCGTGGCATTCAATTAGACCCAAAATACGATGGGCGTTACGGGCACGTCAAAGTGTACATTATGCAAAAACTCAACTGTCTACCATTATATTATCCGGCGATCCGGTAATTGTTGCCTGCCATGGACTACGCTGTAATTTATACAATTTGTATAGTAATTAGCACAGTTATCCGTTCCGCAGGCTATGGCTTTTGGGATTTATTCATTTTTCCCCCTCGCTTGGTCAGATCCACCCAACAGATGTCAGATAACCTTTTTTTTCGGTTGACCACATATTAAATTAAATCTCCCCCGGAATACAAAAAATTGATTGCTTCGACTCTTGTACAAACACACGACGTCATTGATTCATAATGATCGAGAAGACAAACAAAAATATAATATTCCCAGACGAGGAGCGTGACAAAATAATAACAATGACTAGAGACGCCCAACGTTTCGTGACAAAACGGGCTCATTTATTATTACTGTTGTACATGTAGGCTTACCAGAGTAGACGTGCCGGAGGGCAAGAGGGTCAGGCGACGTGGCATATTAAAACCAGGGCATAGGTAATACGAACAACACTTAAACTACCCCGTTGGACACGCAACTTTTCTATTATACGGTAATATAATATTCCTACCGACTGAATGATACGCTAATAGATGATTAATATTTTATTATATGACCGACGGTTAACGCCAATAGATTCCCACAAATGTTGTTCAAGAGGCGATGCGGCGGCGAACATTAAACAGACTCGGTGAAATCCATATTATAATATTCACAATTGCATATCTATGATATCAATAAATATAGCTAATAATGAACTCATGCG